TTTAAGTGACTTTAAAAGTGGCTTTTTTGATGCAGCTCTCTTTTTTCTCAAGCAAGCATATGGTTTTTATTTACTTTTTTAATGTGTATCTGCTGTTGTCATTCAGCATTTTATATGCAGTATCTCACTGATATCCCACTGATATTGCCCAGCCCTAACTCATTTCTCTTTATTTCAGGTAATTATGAATCTATCACTGATCCCATGACTTGTCCTTTTACCATTATATTGATTATATAACCTGGGTTTGCTTCCCAAACTTTTAGTGTGAATTTTTTTTACTACAACTTAAACCAGTTTATATGACTGGTGAATGCCCACCTCACCAATATTTCAGTCTGCACATTTGTGTGTGTGAGTGTGTGTGTGTGTGTGTGTGTGTGTGTGTGAGAAGGAGGGCAGTGTGTGCCCTCAGAGCCAGGCTTACAAGATGAGTGCTGAATGCCTCCAGTTCATAAACACCTCCCTAATGAGCCTCACAGGGGAAAGCAAATGATCGGTGCTCATTTCTTCACAGATCCCTCTAACATCTGCTAATGTGTGTGTGTGTGTGTGTGTGTGCATGACATTTTCATGGATGACAGGTGGTCTCCCTAACACCACTGGATGTTAAAGAGAGAGAGAAAGTGTGAAGCACACATTCACACTCACAGAGTACTAATGCATTTTCAGTGTTTTTATCAATGTGTCTCAGCGGAGCCCAACTACCATATAGAAAGAACAAACTCACAAATGACAAATTATATTAAAGTCGCGATGAAACAGAAGCAGCGACAGATCTTTTTATCCATACTGTGACGTACATCAAAGTGTTATGCATTATCAAAAAATTTGTCGGTTGTTAATTAGACTTTAAGATGAGGATTTTGCACTCAAAATTTAATGTGGTCAATTGTAGAGGGATGAGGTTTAAGCGGAGTAAATTATTAGAGAAGTTCGTTTTCATCGGCAGATCCAGTTATGACATTTTGCATAAACATTATGAGGTCCAAAACAAACAAAACATTGAAACATGCATGTTCACAATAAGATCTACATGTTCAAAATAGGGTGAATTGTCATTGCAACTTTAAATTCTACACAATATTTACTCAAAATTCAATTTAAAAATTGGAACTGACACAAAATGTGTATCAGCCAATGTCAATAATCTCAAGTTGCCAAAAATCAGGTGATTAATATTACTGAAGCGAACCTGATAAGGAATGAAAAAAAAAAATAGAATGTGAAGAAAGAAAAATAAAAGCCTTGAAAGATGGTGTGAGACTCATATCTGGGACAATTTCACCCTGGCTCAAACTTAAAATCTCTACACACGCCGTCTGAGTGAAATAACCGTTTCTGATGCTGTCCAAGCAAATCCAAACACTTCCAGCTCTGATGTTTGCCTGCTTATCGTGGCATTTGGTGAGATAGTGTGTTTCTGGTTCGTCATACTGGCGGTAATGTAATGTTTGCTATCAAAGGCTCAAGGATGTGATGGCATCTCCGTCTGTCTGTTTCTCCCTCTCGCTTTCCACTCATTCTGCCCTATAAGTTTACCCTTCCCTCTCTTTCCTTCCTTTTTTTCCTCTCTCTATTTGTTGAGCACTACGTGGTAAGGTAGACTCAATTTTGTAGAATATCCAGGTTTATTCAGCCACAAACTAATTAGGATTTAAACAAAATTTCATGTTTTAACAGTGTTGTTTTGCTTAGCCACAGTGCAAAAGAAAAAAAGGCAAGCATCCATGTAAAACAGCAACTTTAAGACCAAGCAGAGTGCTTTGCCAATCAGTTACTTAAAGTCTCGGGGCCCAGGACAAAATGTTAATCGGTGGGCCCCTTCTTCCAATAAGAAGGCTATAGCATAGTGCACTTCAGTGGGCCCCCCTCGTCACAGGGCTCGGGACAACATTCTCGGTTTCCCATCCCCCCAAAACAGCCTTAGACGCAGTGGATGGAACTTAATAGTGACTCGAGCAAACTTACTAGCCTTTCAGCAAATCAGTTACAAATACAGGCCGAAAGTCATGCCGCATTAATGAAAATTAATTAGCCAAACATATATATATATAGACATTATATAGCGTCAGCCGAAACATAAATAAAGGATGCTCACTCACGATGAGTTAATGCCAAACAGAAAATGTATTTATTTACATATAACAAAGAAACCCAGAAACGAAGATATTGACTTCAGAATTCGACCAGGCCAAACTAGCAAACAAAAATAGCTCTAAGCTACCTAAAAGAAATAAAAACACATCAAAAGAAAAAACCCCACCACCAGCTTTGATAGTATTTCATTGAATTACCCATTTTTAATAGTTTAGTTGTATTTGAATTAATATGGAATGATTTGATTACATATTCATATATTTCTGAGTCATTGGTATCTGTAATATCTTTACAAGCTTAATAGACATAAGTAAACCTAAACAAAACCATTTATCAGATGTTGGTGTCTGTCTATAGTTGTCCATGCTGGAAAGATTGTACTGACCCCTAGTGGATGAAGATGAAATCCATCACTGCGGCTACATGCAGACAAGTGTGTGTGTGTGTGTGTGTGTGTGTGTGTATTGAATATTTTTGATATTATAAATACCTGTCTGTCTCCCTGGCATTTTCATTTAAATCCTGCTGCTCTGTGATTGGTGCTGTCATGTGCCACACATGAAAATGTAAATGAATAGAGCCCTCAACAGACAGACAATCTATCTATGTCTGGCCTGACCTTGCCGCACACACACACACACACACACACACACGGTCAGTGTCTCGTTTTTGGAGACTGAGGGTCTGTCTCCCATTATGATTGACGGCTGAGGAATTTGACTGACAGGTCTGGCTAGCTGAACTGGCTATTCATGATCTGTGAGGGTCTCATGCTGTGTGTGTATGTGTGTGCGGTTGCACGTCTATAAATGAGACGGTTGTCTTTGAGAGTCTGCTTTGCATGAGGGAAGACACTTCATTAAAGTCACCCCCTACGGAGACACGCACACACAGGAACCCACATGCATGCACACTCCAAGGGTGCAAAGGTCAGCCTTTGGGAACCCCAGAATGGAGATTTTTATCATGTGACCGGGACTTAAAATCTGATCATGTGACCCCTTGAAAAAAACAATGGTGGTTATGATAATTGATACTCATTGAAAGGAAGTTAATTGATGGTTATAATTAGTGCAGGTGGGCTCTTCATAACTCTTCATTTTATTAATAACACATTGATTGGTGTTATATGAGTTTTTCCCCACAGCGGGAGAAAAGAAAGAGTGAAAGTGACAGAAAGTGAAGGACAGAGAGCGGGATGAAAGCAGGGATTAAGCTTCTGTTAGTTTTTGTTCTTTTATTGAAAAGAGGAAGAGAGCGAGTGAAGCACTTCCTCTAAAGGTGCTCAGGGGTCATCATTCAACCCTCTTTCTCTCTCTTTTATTCTCTGTTTCTCTGCTGTCGATGCCCTCCTTGGTGTTCCACTCTGTGCTGCCGCTGAATTTGTATATATGTGTGTGTGTGTGTGTGTGTGTGTGTGTGAGCCTCCCTGGTTGTCTAGCCCACCTCCCACCATGTCTTTGTGCGTGTGTGTGGTGCTTTATGGCGATGTTAGTCGCCATGCTGAACTGGGAACAGGTTTTTTAATTGTTTGGTTTAAATGCTTTGACTGTCTGTGCCTGAATCCATCGCGCTCTCATCTGGGTGACAGCTGGAATGTTTGCACTGTAATCCAGAAGTACGTTTGATCTCATAAATGCGCACATAGATCAGTGTCGGCGTCCTGTACAAGCACAGATGAACCTGATTAAAGACGATTCCCATTCAGTTCACGCTCAGGTCATGTCAGGATAACATTTTTAAAGAGTGCTGAAGACTTACCCAGGCTGTTTAAATGTCTGCTCTGATGCCTGAAGAACCTGGGACTTCAGTTAGAAATGTTTGTTTAGTCTCATCGTAACTGTGTGCATGCATATTTGTTGCGTTTGATCCCGCAGCTGTTTCATTTGAAAAAGGGAATATTTAATTCTATTCTTGCTTTCTTTTTCTTTTGTTGTTTATTTTCTCCCACTGACAGTGTCTGCAGATGTCTGTGAATGCTGAATACTATGAGTGATTGTGTTCTTTTTAGGTCTTGTTTGAACACAAGGCTATTAGTTATGTGTGGATTTTACACCGGAGTGATTAATTATATCATTCCTTGATTCTCCTCTTTTTCATATTGACCATTTATCTAAGCTGCAGGGCACATGCGTTTTGAGACTCATTTCAGGATTCGTGAATCATTTATTTTGTCGTAGGGTGAAGTCATCAGTCTTAGCTGTTTCTATCACCCTCCTGTCACTCTAAACCTGTATGATTTTCTTTCTTTTATGGAACACAAAAGGAGAAATTTAGAAAAAGTTTCATACAGTTACAATGAATAGGAATTGGAGCTTTGGAGCTTCAAAGACGATACAAAAGAGCAATAAAAGTATCCACTAGAGGATCTTTTATGGGTTCCCTTATATTTGCATTTAGTTATATTACAATGATCTTCATTAAAATGCTAAAACAGTAAATATAAAGATGTGCAACATTCAACTGACATCCTATTTTATATTTATTTACATATTTTTATTTATTATTTAATCATTTTTTAATTACCAGAGGGACTTTTCAGATTAGACCTTCGAATATTGTCTTGGACAACCACTGAACTAATCCATTGAAATGATTTAATCAGTCTGATTTATCAACTTATCTTCTTTATCTTCTGTGTTGCAAGGGTGAAAGAAAGTCATACAGTTATGAAATGACATGAGGATGAGTAAATGATGACAATTTTTATTTTTGGCTAAACTAAGATGTATGTTGTACATTGTGACAGCTGATGTCTCAGTCTGCCTTTGCTTTTATTGTACAAAACAACAGCGAAGGGAAACTTTAAAGTGCTTTAAAGTGAACTGCAGATCACTCTAATATGTGTCTGTCTTTAGAACTGCTTATGATTGTTAATGTTCTCTCTCTTTATTTACCAGTGACCTGAGTGAAAATCAGATCCAGGGGATTCCCAGAAAAGCGTTCAGAGGATCTACTGAGATCAAAAACCTGTGAGTCTTCTGTATCTATGTGCGAAAGAGAGAGAGAAAGAGAGCTTTGAATTAATGATTGTGTGCTTTAATGAGATGCCCAGGCATACTGACCATCACACACACACACACACACACACACACACACACACACACACATATGTGGGAGGAGTGGGCAGTGCAGGTAGACAATAGTGGAGGAGAGCACAGCAGACAGACTGAGAAGGCTGGAAAGTGAAGAACAGTGATGGGGGAGGAAGACTGACAGCAAAATGAGTGAGAGAAAAAAACATTGAAGGACAGGAGAGTGAAGGATGTATGTGTTGTTGTTTTTTAGTAAGGATCAGTAGTGTTTCTGAGAGTGTATTATTCTATTTCCATAATCATTGAACACCAAACAGAAGAACCGACAGCATCATCTTCAAACATTTTTGATCTGTCTTTATCTCTTTTAGGCAGCTGGACTATAATCAGATTTCCTGCATTGAAGACGGAGCGTTCAGAGCTCTGCGGGACCTAGAAGTACTGTAAGTATACTGCATGTGTGTGTGTGTGTGTGTGTGAACTTGCGTGATTGTGTTCTGTTGAATTAAAGCCACTGCAGAGATCTTTTCAGATATCATGGTCGTATTAGACGTGGGTCAAAGCAGGGCCACACCGGGTTTGGGGGACTGTTCCAGAAACTTTGATTAAAAAATGGTATATTCATGTTAAATTGGTATGGATTTCTCTGTATGTAGACGACATGCCGTGTTCTGCTGTCAGATCGTGCCTGCTGAGTGTTGAACGATTGTATAAAATGCATATCTGCTTTTTAAAGTGGGATCAGTGGAATAATCCTGTTAGAGAGAATGGAATCAATGGGATTGTGTCAGATTATTTTACTAGGATTATTTTGATGATGCTTTGTGACAAATGGACAGAAGACGGTTTATGAGCTGTATTGTGTAAGAGCAGATGTGCATCTGGTTCCCTGCATATAACCACACACGTGCATGAAGGCATATTGATATACTGCAAAAAAAAAAGTCAAATCAACTGTAAAAGATTGTGTATGGAATATTGTAGTAGGAAAACATTAAAAGGATAGTTCACTCACTCTTCCTAAGAACAAACTAGTCTATTCCAAAGCACTTTTTTCGTGCAGAACACCAAAGGAGTTATTTAGCATAATGTCTAAGATGCTCTTTTTTTATACAGTGAAAGTAAATGGGAACCAGGGGCAGCTGTGGTAACCATTCACTTTCATCTGGTGAACTATCCCTTATTATTATATATGTTTGTGATTATCTTTCTCTGTCTTTGTTTCACAGCACACTGAACAACAACAATATATCTCGTTTGTCAGTGGCCAGTTTTAATCACATGCCCAAGCTTAGGACATTGTGAGTATCTGACACACACACACACACGCACGCACACACACACACACACACACACTCAAACTGCATTAAACCAGTTCTTCAGACTGTCGTTGGCATGTTATCCAGCACTTATCATGCTGGCCCTTAATAAGTGTGATTATGGGGTAATAGAGTGTAATAACCACATTAATATGTATGTTTCATTAGCATACATTTTGTAGATTGGAGTCCTTTGTGTGCGATCATGATTTAATCCCATTTAAATGATGAGCTAAAGTAGATAATTGCTATATTGGCATTCTAGTCCTTGTTAGCTAAACGTCAGCAATAGATGATGGAAAGAAAGCCAGTGAATGCCAAGATGGGAAAGACCATTAAGACCATGAAACATACTTGGCTAGTGTGAAAGGTCAGACATTTTCCCCTATCAAATGATAGATTGCTAGTAAATCGTCCTATACTGTGGTTACTAAAAACTAAAAAGGTAACTAAAACTAAAAAAAAAATTTTTTTTAATCATTTTTGCAGATTGAAATAATACTGAAATAAAATAAAATATAATTATTAGATGAAAAACATAAAAAAAAAATGAAAATAAGGAATAATGTCATGGCAACTAATTGAAATAAGTTGAAGTGCTACAAATACTAAAACTAAAACTTAAAAATGTTTTAAAGCTAAATAAAATAAACATAATACCTTATAAATGACAGAAGCACATTATGAAATTAATAGAACTTAAATGAAAACTGAAAATAGGTCAACTGAAAAAAGGTAGTTCAAAATATTAAGAGGTATTATAAGTATATGAATAATGCTAAAATAAAACTGTTGTCATAGTTACCAATTTATTTCAAGAGAAAAAAATAAATGATTCGATTCAGATCCAGATTATTTTATTAACTACAATTTTCGTCATGTAATTTGACTACAATTAGTAAGTAATCTACCTAGCACTGCAACTAAATATGGTTAGAGTTTCGTTGTAACATTAATCTTGTTAAGGGAAGGACTCCTAAAGATGCTGACCACACAGAAACACCAGAGCCAACAGAGAAATCACTGCGTGTGTTTGCACGTTGTCTGCAAGTAAAAGACTGTAATTAATGAACATGAAATTGTCTGACACAAAGTCGATGATACTCTCTCACACACATGGACACATATCAGCTTAGACTGCCATCGGACCTTCAAATGACTCTTTCTTTCTCTAGTCGTCTGCACTCAAATAGTCTGCTGTGTGATTGTCATGTGGCCTGGCTCTCTGATTGGCTGAGACAGAGGCCCCGCCTTGGCCTCTACACACAGTGTATGGCTCCGCCCTCCCTGAGGGGCCACAACATTGCTGAGGTTCAGAAGAAAGAGTTTATGTGTACAGGTAAGTTTGTGTGCGTTTTATTTGTGTGGCTTGTTTATAGGCGATAAGAGCTTGTGAGAATAAAGAGAATAAATACATGAATTTGCTGTTTTGTTTTGTCAAAGCTTTCATATTCTGTCCATTTTTGTGGCTGTTCTCTTTCTTTGCTCATGCTTTCAAGACTTCAATGAAGGCAAGTTATTTGTGCTGAAATAACGTGGGCAAAAACGTTTCTTTACTTCAAACTGCATTTAGTTGCAATATGCAGTTCACAACTTTTTTGCTTGAGGAAGTTTTTTAATTTAATTCAACCTTTAGACTCAGCCTTCCTTTGTGTAGCACACACCCCTGCATCCTTGTCATCTGTCTGTATGTGTGTTTTAGGGCCCCAGTCACACTCGTCCTGTAGTGTGCTGCAGTGTCCTGAGCTGTGCACCTGCAGTAATAATGTAGTGGACTGCCGAGGGAAAGGACTGACTGAAATACCCACCAGCCTGCCAGAAACCATCACTGAGATGTGAGTGAGGAGCACACACACACACACACACACACAGGTTTGTTTTTGTGAATTGTGGGGACATTCCATAGGCTTAATGGTTTTTATACTCTACAAACTGTATGTGCTATTGCCCTACACCTAAACCTACCCCCTTTGTGCATTTTTACTTTCTCAAAAAAACTCACTCTGTGTGATTTATAAGCGTTTTGAAAAATGGGGACATGGGGTAATGTCCTCATAAGTTACCTTCTCCTTGTAATACCTATTTCATACCCATGTCATTATACAAATTTGTGTCCTCATATGTCACAAAAAC